TTCTGAATTAAAGCATTCATCAATGGGTTCCAACTGCCAAACAATTAAACTAGAATCTACATCCTTTGAAAGACTACTTAGGTGCAGTGTGACTTCCAAGCTCTTTCTTTGTGGTTCTGTGTCCTAGGAGAGTCTCAGAAGTGTCTCCTTCCTGAAGGAAGGGGTCACACTTCCGTTTTCCTCCCTGCATGATGGGCCTGAGTCTCATTGTCTTCAGGGAAAGACCTGCTCTGGAAGCTAGTGAGTAAGTTAAGTTAAGGCATGGCTATACTTTACCCTCAAATCACTTTGAGTGTGCTCTGCATATACAACAACTGACTGGTTGTTTTAAGTAAGTAATATGACAGGCTTCTAGTGAAATTTCTAAAGAATTCAAAATGCTAAATTTTAAGATAGAAATTTAAAATTTCTATCCCTTTCAAATACTCCTAAAAGGAATGAAACACATGACAATGGCTTTAGGGTCAGAGAGACCTGGGGTTAAATTCTGGCTCTACCACTTACTAGCTGCTTAAGTTAATTAAAGTAAGTTTAATTTCTCATAGTCTTAGTTTCCTCTCCTGTAAGTGAAAATAAAATCAACACTGTAAGGATATTCAAATGCAAGCTGATATTCACAGAGAGTCCTGAGAAAACCTAGAAGTTACTATCAAAAAGTAACAAGTGAGATGTAAATTATACCCCAACCAAATTAATTTAGGTCTATGTGAGATTAAAATATTAAAAAGGTACTCACTTTTTTGATTAAATCCAAGGAAATGAACAACGATAAGCAGTAAAAATAAAAAAGAAAGGTTTTCTCAAGTGATAAATAGGGGCTCTATAAGTCCTGAGAGATGCTGAAATGAAATGAGAGGTTTTGGTGGTCAGTTCAGCAGAGCCTATGGAGGGGGAAGTAAACTGTAGCCAGTACTTTTTAATCCTATATAATAATAATCCTATTTAATAAAACCCTAATATGCAAATCAACTAAACAACTAGTCGCTATGAAGCACTCTGACCACCAGGGGGAAGATGTTCAACGCAGGAGCTGCCCCCAGCCCACAGGCCTCAGGCCAGCCAAGGTGGATGCCAGTGGGTCCCCCTGCCCCCAGATTGCCTTGCTCCACAGAGGGAGGCGACTGATGGCTGCGGGGTGATCTGGGGGCAGGGCTAGCCAGCAAGTGGGCCGGTGCTGTCCCCAGATTGCCCCTCTGGCAGCCCCACAGATGGGCCCTGATCGCCAGCCAGGCCTAGGGACCCTATCATGCACAAGTTTTGTACATCGGCCTCGAATCTCGTCAGAAGCACAGTCAGTTTTGGAGTACATCATCTAAGGAGTGCTCCCTCCCAGAGCTGCTCTGATGCCTGGTGTGTGCCTTGGCAGACCATCATACTGACCACTCCCCAGGAGAACAGCCATGTGTATACCAGGTGTGTGTTGCCTGGAGTAAAATAAAGAGCAGCTGACCAGTTCTTTAACTTGACAAGCATATGTAATTTCCTTGGAATGTAAGAGGATTTAAGAATCTAATGTAGTTTGATACTAACAAAACTTTCTCAGCTAATGTCTATGAGAAATCATAACCCACATTCTAAAAATGGCTTTGTGGTAACTATATTTTCTGCAGAGCATTCAGAGATCCAATGATTCCATCACTATTTAGGTGGCTCTAACTCATGGTCTCCTGGTAAATGATATGAAGAATCAGATGGTCTTCAGCAGGTACAGCATGAAGTGAGTAGAGCATAACAGGGCACTAACTCCCCTCTGTGGTCTGGCTGTAAAACAGTTTCCAAATTAAATCAAAGATGCTAAACTATCCTCAGCACCAAGACCTCAGACTCCACTTAATAAGAGCATACGCTGCTTCTTCCCAGTTGAACTCAAAGAGTTCAGGTGTACTACTCATTAAGGATTCTTGGGTCATACCATAAATGAATTTTTAATTACCAATATCTGTAAGCCACCATAAAAAGATGAGACTATGTGAAAAGTGTGATCTCTACAAAGAGGATTCTATTTTATTTTTAAGATACTGTCATGGGGAATATTAATTATCACTACAGAGAGCTCTATATTTATTACACAATAAATTCTTTTCTTCTTCAGTCCATTTCTGTTCCTATTTATAAGCATTTTAGAAGTTTCCATTCACTTCTTTTCCCATTGCTGTCTTAGCCAACCTAATCCCTTTGAAAGAAAACCCAGGCTCTACTGTTATTTTTATTCCTCAGATTTTATAAAATCTACCAGTCTTTGTATATTCCTATGTTGTAGAATGTTTCACATTAATATAGTATTGGTGCATTATCTCAAAAGACAGAGAAAGGAAGACTGAATATTTAATATTTGCAAAATTTTTTCAAAGTCTGCAGTAGTAACACAAGTAGCCTTGTCACTATTACTGGTATGTAGAAAGAAATGATTTTACCACTTTCCCAGTTTGCTCAGGTCCAAAAGACCTGGGTTAGGGAAATAAATTTTTCTTTTTCTCTCTACTAATAGCAAGAAAAACGGAATATAATTATTCTAAAAGATCTTCAATTAATAGCTATTTCCAAAATCACTTTATATTACAATATGTAGGTTAATAAACTTATAAAGTATAATATACAAAGGAAAAAAGTATTAGGGAATTACGAGAAATGTATTAAAATTTATATTCAATTTTGGTTTCTATTTTTTTTTTCTTTCATGACAATTTATTACCCAGTAGAAATTCATAACAATGTTTTGATGTTGATCATTACAAATGAGTTGTGAGAAGACAAAAGGATTCATGGTGAGTGCTAGACCCAATAGGTCAATAAATTTAGGCTAAAGTCAAGATGAAAAATAAAATCCTTTCTACCCACTCACCTGATGTGTATTTTCAGAAATCCTACTCTTACAAAGCTCAGTAAAGTGCAACAAGTAATAAAAAACATTTAAGACAAAGCTTGTCCTCAAGATACAAGAAATAATCAGAATCAATCAGGTGAGAATGCTAGCTGACCAGTAAGTACAAAGAGAATGTTCTTATTAAGAAAGACAAACTATAGCGCATCCATACTTTAAGTAAAGATTGTAGGAAAAGTACACGGTAACCTCTGCAGGGTGAAATTATGGAGCCTTTCAGCTTTCCATACCTTTTTTTATGGTTTGGAATTTTTACAAATGTATTATTTTTGTAATCAGGAAAAAACAAAAAAAGTCTATGAATAATCACTGCAAGGAAACAAATGAATATAAATTTGTTGATTTAGGTTGTTGGTGGCTTATGGCTAGATTTCTGCCTATTTCATAGTTATTTTGTTCTTTTAAAATAATTTTTAATGCAAATTTAATTCAATAAAATAAGAAGGGTATAGAAACTTTAAGTTCTTTGATTTGAGTAACTTTTATTATGCAAAGGGAGCAGAAACCTATTGCCACATTTATTTCTAGCTAAAGAGTAGGGCTGTGAAGAAAATTAAGGCATCTTCTCTATTTCTGTTTATAATACACATTTTTAAACTACTGTGTGATGTCCAGTTAGCTTGAAAACAGCAGTATAAACCCATATTAGTCTATTAGTAATGATATATTTCATCACCACCTATTATTAGGGTAACTCTTCTATTGTTAAATTGGAACATGGTCATTTATGTTTCCCCAATTTCCAAACACTTTTATAATCTTAGTACACTGTCCCCCCAAAAAAGAAAATTAAACAAATCCTGGCTCCATTTCAGTGTTTCAAAGCTTCAGCAATGAAAAGCAGCACCAGCCTTGACTTTCCTGTCTCCCATAGCCACATCACATCTCCACCCCAAGTCCTGCTCACCACTGACCATTCCCAAAGCCTGCAATCTTGTTAGTGTCACTTCAGGCCAAATCACTCTTTTCAGAAATGACACCGATTGTGATATCTCTATAGTTTTTCAACTATCGCTTCTAAGTGAAAAAAATTCTGTTGGAGAATGAAAAATTTTCTGTTAATGAGGCTTATGTCCTTCCGGCCATAACAAAAGGTGTCTGGAACTTGCTGACTCCATTTAAAAATCATATTACTTTGAGAGGTTCATTGTGGGTTTCCAAGCACCCTTCAGTACTATTAAATTACTTTGCTCATTTTGCAGAATAACGGGTCCAGGGTGGGGAGAAAAGGGCTCTGCATTCCGTCCCAGGCCACAAGCCGAAAATGCAGGACCTGAGGCAGTGATTCCAGTCATCATTAAGGCCTGATGCACAATTCCATTTTCATGGTAGTTGTATTTAAAATTGAGAATTCAGTTATATTCCTTAAAAAAAAATAACACATATACTTCTATTTCCTAAAATAACATCTATCAGAGCCCTAAGAAAGTACATTTTAAAATTAAGAAATAGGTCTAGGATCTGGATCTGGATATAAATGAGTACGTTTATATATATTTATATATCCTCATACATGCACCGGAATGGCTATTGTAATGCGGTGGAATTCAGACACACGTTCGCAGGGGCTGAAGGGAAGACATTCATGGTCTTCTTTGCATGTACCTGCATGACTCCATGTCACAAAGCCAGGAGAGCAGAGGAGACCAGGGTTTGGTTTCATAGTGGGTTCGATTATTTTTAAAATGTCTTTGGAAGCAATGACCTTCTAAAAGCAACTTCTGACCTTTAGAGACAACAGTTTTACTTTATTTTCAAAAATACATCATAGCTTTATTCTTATTTACAATTAAAATTTTAAGGTGAAATTTGATGAAGTTCTTAGTTAGAAATTACTGAGAGGAAAAATATCTTCATTTTAAAAATCGATTAAGAATCAACTTTTTAAAAAATTTTTAGTTCTGCAGATTACACTAGTTCTTAAATTGTTATTTTAACAGATGAACATCACTAGAACATTACCAAATTCTTGTGGTATTTAGAGTAGGGAGCTATGGAGCTCACACTCAAAAACCATGCCAACGGCCTATTAAATGAACCTCTACTCATTCAGCTGCATCTTTATGGAATGAAACAAAGCTCAACAAAGAACCCATAAAATGAAATGATGCAGACCAACCTTTTATTGCACCCACAATATTTTGGTCTAGTCCTTTCCGGTTGTCATTGAGTCCTCTTTTCCTCTTCCCATTGGGTAAGGAGTTAGCCAAAGTCTTGTCATCAAAAAACGCACACACCAGTTTTCTAAAGAGAAGGCTTCCTGAGCGAGTGTAGTTTGACAATATAGAGTCCAGCTGAGATTTAGGCATAAACACATCAAAGCCTTCAGCAAGTTGCACTTCTGGCTACCAAAAGAACATAAATATTTTATTAAAAGCAAGATTTGAAGCATGTGACTTTGGGTATATGTGCAACAAACAAACATTACTAGCCATTACAATGTCCACAGCCTATGAACCACACAGTCTCATCTCAGCTTTGTGTGTATTTGCAATTTACAAAAACAATTACTAGTCATAATTCACAAAACAAGATGCTTTAATTCCAACGTTATGTCTTGTCAAAAGTGGTGGAAGGGATACACTGAAAAAGCATTCTTGTCTTTAGATTTAGCTAAGGGAAAACTGGGTAACCACAAATCACATAAGTCTACAGCTACAGGGAACTTGAGACTTCTCATTTTTCAGATGAAGAAACTCAGGCCCAAATGACTTAAAAATAATTTAAATATATTTAGTGCCTTACAGCTGACAGATCACTTTCTCCTACATGAAACAACTGAATTTCATTTGCTAAGGGCACCAATAAGAGACTCTCCCACATGTCCCATGCTCTTTGTACTAGGCCAATAGTTTTAAGTAACAGAACTGTGTTATTTCTCTCCAATGAAAACTCATGTAAACTAATATATGAAATAAACGTAAATGATAGATAGGTGCCCCAGGCAGTTTAAATCTACCCGACCCCTAGTTCTGGAAGAAGTGTACAGCTGTACCCAGAGCACCAATGGAAAACGAATGCATCAGTCACACCATCAGGGATTTCGTGATTGGGCCACTGGACCGGCAGATCTACACGGTGCCTTTCAACTTAGTGTCTGAGCATATGCAGTGGAGCTAAGAACACATTCTCTGCCACCACGGCCTGAATCTTTACAACTCGCCTTTCATCTTCACACCCATTCACATCATTTATTTTTTATTTTTTTTTTAATTTGCATATTAGGGTTTTATTATATAGGACAATTGGAATGCTTTAACAAAAACTGATTCACAAGTCCCTATTACTATAATCAGTTTTTACAAGTCTCCTAGAAACATTCTGCATTATCAGTTTTTTTAATTCTAAGATGTCAATAATATGGAAACATTCTTTTTCAAAACCTTTCCTAACTCCTTCCTTCCCAACTATTTGAGGGGCTGTGTGTTCTTTGTTACCGCTAATTGTCTGACATGCTTTCATAACTGTATTTATTACACTGTATTAAAATTATTTATTAGACTGTGGTCCTTCCTGATGCCTGGAGCTCCGACTTTGTATCCATAGGGCTTGGCACATAAGTAAGCACTCAGTAAATTCTTGTCCAATGGATAAAAACTCATTAGTCATAATCTGTTGGACATAACATGACTTGAAAATAATAATACTTTAATCTGAAGAAATGCAACTGGTAAACTTTCATTTTAAAAAAAAAGGTCAGAGGAAATCTCAAGTAAGATGTATTAGAAAAGCTTATTCTCAGTTACCATATTTATTACTTTGCAAACCTGGCACTTACTTTAGATTTTTCTAAGTCATATTAGAAACATGAGGATTTGGAATTATTTCTTCTCCTGGAGAGAAAAATTGGAATTGTTATTTTTGTTTGTCCTACTGCTTTTCAAAAGGCCTGCACACTATGGTCAGAGTAAAGAGGGAGCAGAGAAGGCCTTAAATTATTCAGATGATGTGGGAAGGAGTTTGGGCTCCGCCCCTCCCAAATGGAATTCCCGGCTGCGTCGTCCAGAAAGACATCTCATTTCTCAGCCTCACTCTGCCATCCAGCGTTTGGTTTCTGAGTGCCTGGTAAATATCACTATGAAAACAGTGCTGTCAGACGGTTTCCCGACTTTTGCACCTGCTTCTGGTAAAGGTCGAAGAGGAGGCAGATGGGAGGTGGGGCTGGACCCCGACTCCTAGAGCAGAAGCTGGCACACCCCAGGCACGGGGTGCATATTTGTCAGATGATTAACGTAGAAATATTAGGGTTGAGAGAATTTTACGAACATAATCTCAGAACAAGTTTTGTTCATAAACAGCTGCAAATTTTAAATGAAGTGATTGCAGTTTTTTGCTAAGTGCTTCTGTATTATCTGAAAGCCATGGGGGAAAAAAAAGAATCCCTGCTTACTTTGTAGAAATAGCTACTCCCAACTATCAATATTTGAGGGTCTAGGGAGAAACAGACGCTCTTACATTTGCAAGAGGGAATGGAAAGATGCCGACCTCTCTCATTCCCATCACACAGGCTCTGAACACTCAGCCACCTGACGGCTGGGACTCCCGGAACCTCCCCTGCGATTGAGCTTGCAGGGCTTGGTTTCCTAGCCACCAGGCAGAGCCAGCCACTCCCTTCTCCGCCCACTTACAGTATTTCCTGTGAGCTATGTTTATGGCCCTTTCCACACTGCACCCATCTGGCTGGGAGTTTGTGTTTCTCATCAGACTGTGCACTCTTCTGTATTCGGACTGCCAACCCTCCAGTGAGGGCCTGACAGATATTTGTTAGAACACGCAAAAAGCTATGTAGAAATTCATTCAACGTGACTAGTATTTAGCAATTTTTTTTATCCCTGTGCAAATGAAGAAGTGGGTTTGAAAGTCTGAGTCGTGGTTCAGTATCCCAGTCTTTTCCTAACAGTACCTGCACTGACTCAGAGAACACGGACCTGCCTGACTCAGTATCTATTTATTGAGCACGCTCCGTGTGTAAGGAGTTTGCACTCCTAACACAGGAGAGTTTTAAGGTCGCACTCAGCAGATGAGTCACATACACAAATACCAACCTGCAAAGTAGAAAGTGGTAAGTGCTACGTATGAGAGAGGTACAGAGCATTAGGCAGCATTTGACTGGCGAGGAGTGAAGGAGTACAGGAGGGGACAGGAAGCATTTCATCAGGCCCTGGATATGGGATTTAGGGGGCAGAGATGCGGTTGCTGATTCTGCCATCTGCTGTGAATCCTAAATCTAAATACCAGGAAGTTTCTGTGGAGCCAAGAGACTCCCTGTGAGATCATAATAGTATTCTAATTTCTTTTTTTCTTTCTTTTTTTTACACAAGATTTTTCTTTTCTCTTTCTTTTCTTTTCTTTCTTTCTTTCTTTCTTTCTTTCTTTCTTTCTTTCTTTCTTTCTTTCATTTCTTTCTTTCTTTCTTTAAAAAATATATTTTGATTTTTTTACAGAGAGGAAGAGAGAGGGATAGAGAGTTAGAAACATCGATGAGAGAGAAGCATCGATCTGCTGCCTCTTGCACATCCCCTACTGGGGTTGTGCCTGCAACCAAGATACATGCCCTTGACAGGAATGGAATCTGGGCCTTTCAGTCCACAGGCCGACGCTCTATCCATTGAGCCAAACAGGTTTCGGCACTAGTATTCCAATTTCTGAGACACTATCCCAAAACAGAAGTTGTTAATGCTTCCTGTTCCACTTTCTACTGCCAGAAAAAGATTTTTGCAGCATTCTTTCCAGATCAAGGAACACGAACTCGCCCCAATATGCACCCTGTATAAGAGAGTCAGTTTTGTTAGTTGAGGCAGCTCCAGCAGCAGACAGAGCAAAAGCCACAAATCTCTGCCCCCTTCCTGCTCTTCAGGTGCTTCTCTTATGCAGATATCTTAGCTGGTGGTGAATGAACACTAACATTATATCTACAATGCAACACAATGCAAACCAATTTCTTAAAAATAGCTTCACTTTCTGAGATAATGAGGAAAAGATAATCTTAAATTTTCACATGAAACCTTTTTATTTTCTCCATTTTATAAATATAACATTACTACTATCTAATGACCCACATCTTTGTGTATATATATTTAAAAACAGGCTAAACTCTTTAATTGTATCTCTGAATCTCTTTTTTGTTTTTGTCTCTAGTTTAAGTGAGATCTCTCTGCTTACTAATCATGGCTATGGCAGAAACCAGCATTCCAAGTGAATATCCTTTTAAAAACTAGACTTCCTTGGACAGAATCACTATTTGATACTCCCATGAAGACAGATAGTTAGCACACCAATTTTCAGACTCTATTCATTACAGAAGTAATATGTTTCAATAAATTCTATTGAGTACTTAAGACCTTTGAATGGTGACATCCAAAGTGTGGGGCATAATTTATAGCACTTACAGTCATTATTTTAAGAGCTAAGAGACTGAATTCCCACTATAAATTTGGATTTTCATGCATCCCATGTACCTCAGCTACTCAGCACAGTAACGTATCACATGTTGAATTTTCCTTATCCAGTGGCATTCCATCTGACACTGAGTGAAGTTCTGGAGGAAAAACAGCATGTAGTCATAAGGACTCTTGAAAATGCTCTGGGGCCCACGTTTGTGAACATCAATTATCTTGTTTCTCTTTCCATTTCAGTTGTGGTCTCCCTCTCTTAGAAGTAAATTGACCCTGGAATATCAGGGTATGAAACTGTGCGGGTCAACTTACACATGGATTTTCTCCCCATAAATCCCTGTACTGTTTTTGATCTAGGATGTGAAGAGCTTATCACATGTATTGTTCTCTGCCACTTACATAGGGGACTTGAGCATCTGTGGGTTTTGGTATCCACAGGGGGTCCTGGAACCGGTTCCCCTCAGGTACTGAGAAACAACTGTGTAGTTAAATTCTGGGGAAGTCAAGAGTTACATGTGGATTTTTTACTATGTGGGGGGTTGGCAACTGTAGTTTGAGTCAAAACCTACTGTGGATAAGAGATCCTCTGACCAGATAAATTAATTTTTTTCTTCCTTAAGGCCCTCTGAGAATATCATATGACTTCCCTGTATAATCTAAAGAAAAATATGTAAAATAATTTGAAAGAAATGATACAAGTTAATCACAGAGGGAACATTTCTGATATAGGCTTTTTATATAAGGTACTAGAGGCCAAATGCATGAAAATTCATGCACTGGAGGTGGGTCCCTCAGCCTGGCCTATTCCCTTTCACAGTCCAGGAGCCCTCAAGGGTGGGAGGCAACCCAGCAATCAGGGGAGGGCAATGCCCCCATCACACTTCTGCTGCTGTCACTGCCAGCAGTGCAAGCCTAGGCTGGCCCTGGTTATCTGAGCCTCATGTGGCCCT